TGAACATACAATCGTTCCAACCATTAAACTAATCTAAACAAACCCACACCAATCAACTTTAAATGAATCCATGGCATGAGATTAGGTAATCAAGTAGACCCACATTAATCAACTTGAAAACCAATCCATAACATAACACAAATAAATTGGGAATTTTTGCAGCCTAAAATTTCACTCTTTCCAAGCTAACACACATTGCTCTACTCTAAAAGCAATCAAGTGACAATAAAAATCGAATAAGTAAAACAAACCCATAATATGAGTTTTCAAACCCTAACTAAGCATAATATAAAAAATAAAAAAAATTCTAGGATTTTCAAAACTACTTCAAAAATTTTAGGGTTTTCAATTTCACAATGATTTAGTCAATATTAATTGTGCCTAGAAAATAGGGTCAATCCCAAATCTCAAAATGCATGAAGGAGAGGAAATTTTCATGCAATTATTTAGAGGGAATGTATCAATTTCAATTTTGGAAAACTAAAGGGGGGGAAATGCATGAGGATAATTAATTGGCACAAATTTAAATAATTGGGTGCAAGTGCTGTCCGTGTGTGAGCATATTTTCTTTAGGCATGGGTAAACACCACAGTAATGGCAGTGCAATGACTCAGTGTTGGTTAAATTGCTGGTTGTGTATCTTTTGGTGCAACGATTCAATGACATGTATTTTTTATAATTAAAGATAACACAATCCCAAATTTCAAACACACCACTACTGCACCGTCATCCCTTAAAACATCTATGTACAAACTAATGCAAAAACATACTAATACTCGTCGTACAGTCTAATTCAACTTTGTCTATGTAACAGTTCATAACAAGACTTAGACACCTACAACACACACAACTACATAATTCCAAATGATTGTAATGTCCAACTCCATGTAGAATTGCTAGAAAATAAGTCCAAAATTAAAGCAACATAGACAATTAAGCATGTGTTTTAAAAATATAGGCATGCATTTTAAAACTAGAGGCATCTGACTAAAATCTCTTGGTAGTCCCATTGAAAAAAATTTCATGTCTTTTGGAAGTTGGAGTCTTTCAAATTTATTGTCATCCTCAAACAAAAATAAAAAATTCTCTAGCTTGAAAGTTGTGATATGAGCTCTAGTTAAAACAAAAGAAATGCAATTTCAAATCCACACAATACCTCAATTTCCATAAAACTCAACAAACTTGAATTGAAACATCTATAATAGAATGCGATAGTTGTAAATATAACATCGCCAAAATAGGGAACTTACGGGTTAAGAAGAGGTACCCAATGTTTAGCACAATTGTTGTTGAGTTAGTAATTCCATGACCCAATCTCTATATGTGCCCCTGCCAAACCTCCAATTCCAAAGTATTCTCTTGCTTGAAATTAAAAAGTCTTCTCTTGATCATTTGTTCTAATTTAAACCATAACCTAAACAAAAAGAAAGCAATTGTTCCACTAATATATTGAATAGACCAATTAATCATGAACAACGTATATAATGAGAAAAAAAACAATGAACAATGTACATACCGGGAAAAAAAAACAATGAACAACATATTATTCTCTAAAGTACTCTCTTTATCAAAGTCTTCTTACCTCTCAAATATTTCTACAAAAAAAAATGCTAACATAAAAATTTAAAACTAACTGAAAAGAAAAATGTGATATACGTCTATCTGAGACATAAAAAGTGGGTGCATGAGCAAATGAGCAAATGAGCAAGTGAACCTATGTAGACTGTGAAATCATGTAGGTTAAAAAATATGCCACTACCACTACGTCATGCTAACGTTATTCAAATTGTATACTCATTAAATCACCCCTCAAATAAAAATAAAAGATTTAAAATATCTAAATCGCATATATTCAAATGCACAATGTAAAATCATAAATCCATGATAATTAAAGTCATCGCACATATAAAAATTATAAGACATCATTCACTTAGTAAATGTCCTGGTACTATGATTATCAATTTGCAAAAATAGACTATCAAAAAGTTGAAATTTAATTGAAGAAGTAATTACCAATAGGAAAATGTTGCAGCCAATATTGAGAAAATCTTTGTGCTCACTGATGTAATGTTCAATGCCTTTAACTAAACCTGAAATAAAAAAAAATTAGAAAAAGTGTTGGGAAAAGTGTTGACAAAAATCAAACCATAGAAAATTCACTAAGTTACCATTCAAACTTTGCATAGAAACATGAGTGCGATTTTGAAACTCTTAAGACAACCGATAAAGTAACATTTATCTGCCCATGGAATATATTAAAATTTTGTGAAAAAGAATAATGAGAACTTCGCCTAATTATTCGGAATCAAAAGATATGCAAACATTAAGCTCCAAATGTTTGTCCACCAAATAATCAATTCAAGCAAAAGAAATACACTCATGAATCCCAAAAATACATCAAATTAAACCTACTAACAAAACTCGGTGCAAATTGTACCTAACCTAATAACAAAATATCTCAATAAGGGGTAGTTTATGAATGCATGGAAAAACAAATAGATTGGTGGATAAATAGAGACTACACTCATGTCTGGCAATTAAATTTGACAATATTTCAAGAGTCCCAAATAATTAATAAGAAAATAAAAATTCTCAGGCAGCATTACATGGAAGACATTACCACCACCAAGTTTCTAAAAGATAGCAAACATATGCCAGAAAACAAAACCACTCTGAAGCAATACAACGGTAGCCAACCTCAACAGCTAAATGCACGGGAATGTTTAGATAGAATTTCCTCTAAAAATAGTATCCCAAAAAAGTTAAACCTGTATATACACGGTTCATAACCACCAAACATGACTCACAAATTGAATGAAATCATTTATCAATTACCGCCACAACATAAATGAATTCCATAACAACATACAAATGAAGTAAAGACAAAACGGGATTACCAATTACATTCAATTTATAGAAAGCAAAAAAGCCTAAAGTATAAAAAGTCTAAGCAATTGACTAAAAAACTTAATTCAATTTAGTACTCTAATTTCAATTCTAGAATAACATATTATCAATCCAATGTATATGCATTTAAGTACAATTTTCAAGCAAAAGAATAATAGCAATGAATACAAATCCAAGTTGAGTATTTCAAATTTATTGTCTTCCTCAAAATAAAAAGAATTCTCTAGCTTGAAAGTTGTGATATGAGCTCTAGTTAAAGCAAAAGAAATGCAATTCTAAATCCACACAATACCTCAATTTCGATAAAACTCAACAAACTTTAATTGAAACATAATTTCAACACATTATACCTATAAAAATGAGTACACAGTAAATTCATACCGATCAAAAGAAAATAGAATGATGGAGCATACAATATTTCTCTTAAGCATTCCAACAAACATTTGATGTCCATTATGGTTGACAGCAAATCAACACCTAACTAACAACTTTTGTGTGTGCGATTTCAATTTGTGGGTATGTGTAATTGTGTGTGTTGGGTGTGTGTGCTAGGTGTGTATTTGTGTGTTGTACTACGGCTAGGGGTTTGTGCGTGTGCGAAGTGTGGGGGTGTAGGTTGTGGGTGGATGTGTGCGATATTGTGTGTGTGTACATTTTTCGTAATTTATGAAAAACAGGGGTTGAGGGGGGAATTTTGTGTGTGTCGTGTTTGTGTATGGTGTGTTGTGTGATGAAGACAGAGAGAGGCATATGAAGAGGGCAAGAGAATGAGAGAGAGAAATCACCACCAAACTCGAACTTAAAAGGAAAAAGAAATTTATTACCAAATATTTTTCTATGGCATTTCAACAAACACTTCATGTGCCATGGATTGGAGCTGTTGGGAAGGGGTATGGTCATGCTGGTAACCGAAGATGGAAGAAAAAGAGGGGAAAAGAGAAAGAGAGAGAGAGAGAGGAGAGGGACAAAGAGAGAGATACCTGGAGAGTGAGAATTGTCGTTGCTGGCGACATCTCTGCTGGCAGCGTGAGAGTGAGAGAGGAACAGAGCTGTGGTGGGTTGCTGTTTGGACAAACAAAGAAAAGAGAAATATAGATCAGAGAGAGGGGTTAACGGTCGGGTGAGAAGGGAGGAGAGAGAAGGAGGGAAATTTGGGGAAGAGTGCTAGATAGAGATGGATTTAGGGGAACGTATAGGGGAAAAATGACTTTGAAATGGTGTTTGTGAGTGATAAATGATGAATTTGGGGGAAAAGAATAGGTAATTGGTGGCTGAATTGTGACCGTTCGATCGACTTATTGAAGTTCACTGTGTTTTATATTATAGATTTTGGTATAAATTATTTTATGCATAAGGATGTTTATTTATAGTATAAAAGAGTAGTGAAGTTTACTAATTTAAACGAAGTGGAACAATTATATATACATTAACAAAAAAAAAAAAATTATTAGTAATCACATAGCTATGGTCCCCAATTAGACCCAATCAAGGTAAAGGGATACTCCACACAACATCTCAAAGGCAAGAGAGCATTGGATCATCTCCTAAAAAAATACAATATTCCATGTTAGTACACTTGGATGACCTGAATTTAAAATTTAGTAATTTTTTTTTAAGATAAGTAAGATCTACTTTTGATTGAACCAAGAGAATTAATTAAAGTGTGTATAAGTTGATTCAGAAAAAAAAAAAAAAAAAAAGAAAAATTTCACCTTGTATCCCAAAAATATTTAAAATTTTCTATTTTACACTCTAAAAGGTTAAGTATCTCATAATTTTCCATTAACCGTATTAAAAACGTTTTAATGTAATCCTTTCGTTACTTTCTGTTATTTATTCTGTCAAAATTTACTACATTAGTGTTGACAAAATGAGTATTAAAAAATAACAACAATATTCTAACATTTTTAATATATTGAATATTCAATGTAAGAAATTTAATAATGCAATTGGCCCAAAAAATAATAAATAAATTAATTAATTAACTTTAGAAAACCGAATGGGAAATCTATCCCCTTATCCGGACCCAACACCAATCCACCAAAACTGTAAACAGCGCAACACAGACTTTGCGCTTCAGAACAACTCTGGACATGGCCGGAGTACTTGGAACTTCCTCTTCAGCAATCTTCGCCTCTAGACCCCTTTCTTCTCCCTCCTCTAAATCTCCCATTTTCCCTCTCTTCCCAAGTCCAGGTAAATTTCTCGGTGTTTATATGTGTATATGCGCTTATGCATGTGTTCATATTTTTGTGACCCACTTCATTACTTTGCTAAATCATTCTTTTTGAGCTACATTCTTGGATTTGGGTGTGTAAAAACACAACCCAGTTCACTCATAGTGTTTCTGTGTAGTTGAATTGCAAATAATGTTGAATTTGAGGCCTGTGATGATAATAAAGGGATGGGTTTGAGGGGATTACATGGGGTTGTGTTGATAAATTGAGTTATTTCAGGGCAGGGTCAAGGGAGGAAGTTCTATGGAGGGATTAAGAAGGGCAGATCTCGATTACATGTTTCAATTTCCAATGTTGCCACTGAAATCAGCCCTGCTCAAGCACAGGTACCAGTTTTCTAAATCAGGGTGTTTGTAATATGATGAATTTTGATAAAGGAAATTGGAACATGATTTATGTATTTACATGTTAGCTTTGAGTGTGATCTGGGTAACTTTCAATGTAGTTAATTTTTGTGCACCGTATGAGTGTTGTGCTACATTCATACTGTGTGCACTGGGTACGTCCTTTTTTTTTAGTATGAATGTTATGCTATATTTATAGATAGAGGGGCAAGTTTTTACCAATTTGATTGCTCAAATTTTCATGATGGTCATAAATATTTTTTTGCCTTTTCGAGTAGAGTTGGGGATTAATATGGAGCACTTTAGTTGCTTGCGAAAAACATTTCGTGATTGCACAAAACAATGTGTTAGTGAACACTATCTTAGGAAATGTTCTAATAATAGATGAATGAAAGCATTGCTTTTTGAAGACAATGTCATGGCGGATATTTTGTCAGAATGTTGAATTGGCATCTTTAAAGTTTGGGAAGTTTGTAAATCTCAGGCTCAGAAGCTTGCCTCAAAGGAGACTCAACGGCCAGTGTATCCATTTGCTGCTATAGTAGGACAAGACGAAATGAAATTGTGCCTTCTGCTTAATGTGATTGATCCCAAGATCGGAGGTGTCATGATTATGGGTGATAGGGGAACGGGGAAGTCCACTACTGTTAGGTCATTAGGAGACTTACTTCCTGAAATCCAAGTGGTTTCTGGTGATCCATTCAACTCAGATCCAGAGGATCCAGAATCTATGGGCATGGAAGTCCGAGAGAGAATTATCAAGGGTGAGGAACTTCCTGTGGTGATGACTAAAATTAACATGGTTGACTTACCATTAGGTGCTACTGAAGATAGAGTCTGTGGGACAATTGACATCGAAAAAGCTCTTACGGAGGGTGTGAAGGCATTTGAGCCTGGACTTCTTGCTAAAGCTAATAGAGGAATTCTCTATGTGGATGAAGTTAATCTCCTAGATGACCACTTAGTGGATGTTCTTTTGGATTCTGCTGCCTCAGGATGGAACACTGTTGAAAGAGAGGGAATCTCGATTTCACATCCCGCTCGGTTTATTCTCATTGGCTCAGGAAATCCTGAAGAAGGGGAACTTAGGCCACAGCTGCTTGATCGGTTTGGAATGCATGCCCAAGTGGGAACTGTAAGGGATGCAGAGCTTAGAGTGAAGATTGTCGAGGAGAGGGCTCGGTTTGATGGAAATCCTAAGGAATTTAGGGAATCTTACTCGGAAGAGCAGGAGAAGCTCCAACAACAAATTGACTCAGCCAGGAGGTCTCTTTCCGCAGTTCAGATAGATCACGATCTACGGGTTAAAATCTCCAAGGTTTGTGCTGAGCTTAATGTTGATGGATTGAGAGGTGACATAGTCACAAATAGGGCAGCAAAAGCATTGGCTTCTCTGAAAGGAAGAGACAAAGTAACAGCTGAGGATATTGCTACTGTTATCCCCAATTGCTTGAGACACCGACTACGTAAGGATCCCTTGGAGTCAATTGACTCTGGCTTACTCATCATTGAGAAATTCTATGAAGTTTTTAGCTGAGGAAGGTAGCAGACCTTTTATTTGTAATTTTTGTTGCACCGTTGCAGTTCAATTCAGTATTGTTGTTTTGGTACCTACAGTTTTCTGTTTCCATTTGCTCAGTATCTCTGAGTTCGTTTAAGGTTAGAATGCTCTAGTTACCTATGTTGTTGAGGAAGGATGTGGTTGGTTTTGGAAGAACTTATCCCATATATACAAGTTGACACATTGTAGTTTCTTTGAGAATTCTACTTCTCGAATTCAAAGATGTACTCTTTTGATTCACATGTAACCTCTCTAAATTTAATCGATTTCTAATGCTTGCCTTTGGTGTGATGGCTTATCCGCTGGTAAGTCTTTCACTTTCATCAACTGCCTATCAAAATCATACTCTGCCTTCCATTCTGAATTCTTGCTGTAGAGATGGTTGCTAGAAGAAAGACGGTTACTGATTTGCCAGCGGCTTCTTTTATTCCTGTGCATTTCGATATTAATCATTGTTCGTGTTTTTGTTGCTGGGAAAAACTTAACCTGTGCATGTGCAGGTTTGTTTGCCTCCTTCATTCGGTTTTTCTGGGAAGGCAGTTTGTGATATTGTTACTTTTAAGAGGTGAAAAACAGTGTTCTTGCTCTGGGCAGAGTTGCATCCAGTTTCATAACAAGCTTTACTAGCAGGTAGAATGTTCAACAGTGTTTGCATTGGTCATGTTTGTAAAGATTCCAATTTGATTTCACTAACATCTTCTGATCCTAACACCAATCAAATGGCTGAAATATTTCAATATTTAGGTATTCTGCCCGAAAAAACCTCCAGTTGATGCTGATTAGAATCATGTTGCATAGGTGATTAGAATCGGCCTCTGGATTCGTGGCTTCAGGATGATCAGAGGCCACTTCTGTTCCAAAATTTAGGCTTCTGCTCTTGAAATTCTGGTGACCGCTGGTACACTATTGATGCAGCCTGGATTAAAATTCCAGCAGTTAAGGCCCATATGACATACTTCTTATTCTCTGCTTCATAATCGAAGAAATGGAGCAGATACTTGTCCCCCAGCCATTCTCTCTCTTCTGCTCTTCGATTTTCATCCTGAATCCATCAACATAACAAGTGAATTAAAATCAATTAAGGCAAATCAAAACCAAAAAGGGTGAGAGGAATACCTTGAGAAATACGAGGGAGAGTGACTGATAAAGTTGTTAAACTGTGTAATTTTGATCAACATTGACGCATTTGACAGAGGAATACCTTGAGAAACATTTCTAATGGAGCTTCGAAAATGGCTTCCACTTCTGCAGCATTTGGAACAGGTTTGAATGCTTGCTTATCATAAAGTATGCCCATCACAGGAACTACCGTCATACCACGCTGAACCAACAAGATAACAGTCTTTGAACTTTTAGAGAACAGTTTAGGAGGGGTGGAGAAAATCGTGGAAAAGGTAGAATAGACTGAATTAAACCACGGGACTATAACTGATAGTCAAAGTTCAGCCTAAAAAGTTCGATTACTTAATCAAGCTTAAAAAATTATTTAAATTTAACTTAAAACGAGCTGGGATATATGCACAAGTCAAGCCGAGCCTATCAAGTGTTTGAGCTGAACATGTGGGATTCGTTTTTTAAACGAATTTAAAAAATTGTTCAAGGGCACAAACCAAGCTTAACTCAGACAAAAATGAGTTGAACTCGATCCAAACTTGAATACATCAGTTTGATTAACAGTTCTAAACGTCAATTATTGAACCCCTGACCTCTTGGCCAAGAGAATCTTCCAAAACAATGGAAGTGCTTTTTTTTTTTTTTTTTTTCTGTTGAGTCAAAACAATGGTAGTGAATTAAACCGAAGTTACGTCAAATGCAACCATAACACATATGAATAAGAACCACATAGCAAACACCAAATTCTTTTATACCTTGGTTATAAAGGGTTGAAGAACAGTAACAACATTGACAAGTGAAGGGTCCAACCCTATCTCCTCCTTAGCTTCCCTCAACGCCGTCTCAATGTCATCAACATCGCCTTTCTCTGTCTTCCCACCAGGCAACGAAACATCTCCTGCAACCAAACACAACCCATTTCGGTCTTCTCTCTTCAAAATCAACTATGTTAAAGACCAGAATCTAATACATATACCATGAGACTCTGACCAGAGTGAGACGAAAGTGTTGAAGATCGCTTGGTGAGAATTACACGAAGATCACCATTTTCGCCTTCGAAGATGCAGATCAGAACTGCGGCTCTGTTGGATCTCAATCTTTCAGATTGGTTCGCAATTGGGTTTGTCGCAGATTCGGTGTTCGAATCGAATTCTTCGGGAAACAACTTATCTGATGTGTCTCGAATTGTTGGGTCTTCATTGGGATTCTTGTTTTTGGTGTCGTTTAGAGGGTGAAGAGGCTTGTAGATACTAAGCTGTTGCGCCAAGTCTTTCAACCTCTGGGATCCTCCGCGGTAGTTACTGGAACCCATGAGCTATTTGAGAGAGAGAGAGAGAGAGAGGGAGAGATTTTCTTTGGGGAATATGAACATGGACCGAATGTTATTGGTCATCTTATACCCCGAGTACTTAGTATTCGGACTTTTTTTGTACAATGCGTGGGTTCGAATCTTCATATTTACATATGCAGATTGATCTATCTACGTTCCTATTTTAAATACCAAAAAAATAATATTATTGATTTTTTTTTTTTTGGTCATTATATTATTGATCATGCATTGACAATTTTGTTCTAGTTTTAAAGATCCATTTAACAGCAGGTTCTGAGAGCCAACCTTTTTTATGCGCGCTGATCAAAGCTATTCTTACCTCTAGCTTATTATATGCTTCAATTTATTTCTTGAAATATGATGAATTAATGAGTTACGTGTATATAATAAGTCCTACTTAATATATCATAACTAATTTGTTAAAAAAATTAAGAAAAAATTATATTAAAAAAAATATTAATTACACTAAAAGTTCCTAAAGTATGAAATTTATCTCATTTTGATCCTCAATATTTTTAATTGTATCATTTTAGTCTCTAAAGTATTAAGTATATTTCTATGTGATCCCTCAAATAGACAGCGTCTAGATTACTAAAATTTTTTTATTATAAACTTGTTACATAATACTTAAATATGAGCAAAGAAATAATTTGGATAACTTTGACAAAATTTTTGCTTAAATTTTGATCAAAGAACTACCCAAATTACATAGTTTTGATTATGAACTATTCAAATTTTGATCAAGAGCTAACAAAATTATACATTTTTTGTCGAGAGTTACAAGTATTTGGTTAACAACTATACAATTTTTTTTTCTCATAGTTAGTATTACGTAACAAACTTATGATAAAAGACCGTTAGTAATTTAAATGTTGTTTACTTGAGAAATTACATAAAAATATATTTAATACTTAAAGGATCAAAATAATACAATTGACATATTGGGACAAAAATGAGACTAACGCTATACTTTAAGGACCTTCACTGTAATTAACCCTAAAAAAGAAAACTCACTCCAACTTTGTGGACAATTGTCCTTGCCATTTCTTAGGGTCAGCTAGGGTTACAAAAAGATAGGGTTGGATGAAAAGTACACCATATGTCACAAGGCCAATCAATGGAATCAATTTTGAGTTAAATATGATTTGCCAGATATGAATGTATATTTGAATCTAAATCCTTTATATCATATTTTAGAGAGTCTGATTTAGATATATATCACCAGTCCAACTGTGATCTAATCCGACATGGGTATATATAAATCTCTCTCTCCACCAAGGTTCTAACAGAATAGCTTGTCAAAGCACCCATCATAATTGGTTAATGTTTTAAGTGAATCAATACTCTACAATGTTTCTACATTCAGAAGGATGAATACTGAAGTTTCACACTAAAACATGAAAAAACAATATGACTTATAGCAAGGCCACTTCTATTCATAAGCCAACAGAGAAGGGTTTTTCTCATTTTTTGGAGAAAAGAGAGAAAAATTCCTTTCATCAGGCAAAGAGCAGTTCTGGCTTTCATGATCGTCATTCAAGCTGAAGCTTTGCAGCTGAACTTCTATTTTTCTGAACTGGTTTAAACTATCTCTAAAATGGTAGTATGGATAGCCTTTCCTCCACAACCCTGTGAACTATATTCTGAAAGGTATTGATGTCATAGAATAAGCATTCTGCGCATGGAAGGAGGACCTGCGAGAACACCAAGCAGTCAATAGCTATGCACAAACAAAAACTTCAAATTCATTGGCGATGACTGACATGAGGGAAGCTCAGAAGGAAGATCTAGAGTGAGTGTCTTGACAATAATACTCCAGGAAGATATTGCTTCACACTTGTTGCCAATTGGCTCCAAAATCTTATTCTTTTCAAAGCCTTGTTTTAATCTGAATGGTAGGCAGAAGATCAGTAAAACTTAACAGGTCTAACGTTTATATATCGGTCTGATAGTCTAAAAGTACAGCAGACCATGCACTTTGAAATAACCAAGTTCAACATCTCCAGCCCACTGTATCTCCTTTGATCTCCGAGGATAATAACATGCATTACAACCAAATTAATAATAACTAAAAACAACGCATAAAAGTATCCAAAACCTTGGGCTTAAATTTTGGTTTCTGCTCCAGGAAAGCTGGTGACCTTTTGAACACAACAGATGCTGCCCTAATCAGAATCGCAGCAGTTAAACCAAATATCACATACTTCTTATCATTCATTTCATAGTCAAAGAAATGCATCAGCCACAGGTCTCCAGCCCACTGTATCTCTTTTGATCTCCGATTATCATCCTGAACAACCATTGCAAAATTATATATCTCCGAAGCCATATAAACTCCTAGATAGACAAGAGGCAAACTCAGAGTCGGAATTAAAGATTGAAACCTTTAGAAACATTTCCAAGGGAGCGTGAAATACTGCTTCCACTTCAGCAGCATTAAGAGCAGGCTTGAAGGCTTTCTTATCAGAAAGTATGCCAATGACAGGAATTACTATAATGAGGTGCTGCATACGAAAGATAAAATTGTTAGTATGTTACATCAGAAAAAATGCAGAGAAACACTAAATTTGAAGTTTCAAGCCTAGGTTTTACATATCAAAGGATGTCCAGTGTATGCGTGTCACTTGATGATCAAATTCTAGAAACCTTCTCATTAGGACATATGCTACCAATAGGATTTTCAAAGAATTACAATGGTTCAATAATTTGTGAATGTGTATTGAAATGCCAATGACCCTCAACAGAAGTAACTATGTACATGCAATTCATCAATAATGTCAAAAGACTTCTCCTGGAGACATCATGATCCTGCCCACATTGACATTAACTAAGCTGGTGTAAGGATTATGCTGTGAAAGGCATATTATACTTACCAAGGACAAGAACTGCTCAAGGGTAGTCACAATATTCACAAATGAAGGATCCAAGCCTATCTCTTCCCTGGCTTCTCTAGTTGCTGTCTCGACATCATTTGCATCTGCCTCCTCTGCCTTCCCTCCAGGCAACGCAACTTCACCTGCGGCCAAAACCACTTATTTTGGTGAAATCAACAAAAACCAATACCCCCAAAAAAAAAAAAAAGCAATTATTAGTGACAACAACAGAGTGTTGCTAAGAAAACTGAACAAGAATACATTAAAAACCATAATCACTATCATCAAGAGAAAATATGCATTTCCTTCAATGAACAGAAAACAAGAACAAAGTCACACAAATCTCCATAGCCAACATCATAGAACAAAAAAAACAAATGGAACCAATGAACAAATACTAAATCAAATAAACCCATACATGCACAATCTTCATAATCATGTCATACCAAATGAACCCATGTGGTCATTAGACCGACCAATACATATAACGCCCACTTGTCAAACTGGAGAAAATCCATTAGTTTAATTGCCTTAAGATTCATTTGCTGCATACAAGCATATTGATCATCATCATCAACGAAAGACTCCCAATACACCTATTCACATGCAACCATCATCAACAACCAACAATACCCGCTTGCTAAACTATCAAAATTGTCATTGGCCAAAACTTTTAGGCCCTTACACACTATAATGATCATCATCAACCAATGACACCGAGCTGCTAAATGAAAACAAACCACTAGGTAAATTTGCTCTAAATTTCCACACAAATACACCTTTGGGAATGAATCTACGGGGCTATCACCTTCTTTGGCCAAATCTTCCAACCTTTTCACAATTACAGTTCTCTGCCCCCTTTACTAGAAAGTAAAAGGGCTTGCTATTTTTTCCATCATCCAATCCACAACAAATCGAATGAAACCTAGCGAAAAAGAAGTGAACACTTTGCTAAGGAACAAAGCTTCATGTTTGTTTTTCTTCAAACCCCCAACCCGCTATCGCTTGCTGCTACTAATGGTGTCTCAGTTGATTTCCCTTCCTTTAGCTACTCAGATGTTTCAGTTCGCTAAGTTTGAAAAGTCCAAAAAGTCCAAAGAGGGCAGACTGCCGATAAGAAAGGAGACAAGAACTTCAATAAACTAAAGGAGCGGAATCTCCTCCAATTACCGCTTGCGGATCTATTTCATATAAGAGTTATAACACTCTAATTAACTGACAAAGTGTCCTCTGTTCACTGAGGTGGTTGTAATTGCAATATTGACTTTTTTTTATCAAGATTAGGTTGGTGTTCAGTGTACCTTAATACAAGATCGAAAATTCATCATCAACCAAATAAAGCAACCAGTAACAATATACACAACTCAAGACAATCACTTGCTAAATAATCAGAAATCAGTGGTTAAATTGCTCAATCCAATAGAAAAACATTAACTTGAGTGAGTAGAAAGCTTGGAAGCCCTCTTAGTGAGGATGACACGAAGATCACCATCATCCCCTTCAAAGAGACAGATCAGAACTGCAGCTCTCTTGGGTCTGAACTTTTTTGGCTCATTGGCCATTGGGGTTGCAGACTCTGGAAAACCCACTTGAGAAACAGCCTTCCCGGCACTGTCTTCAATGCTTTCCTCTTCAACATCAATTTCATAAATCGATCGAGGAGGTTTATAGAGACGAAGCTCTTGAGCTAAGGCTACGAGCCTTGGGGAACAACCACTGAAACCGTCGGTTTGTGAATCCATAGCGAGTTTGGAGAGAGAATTCGGAGATGCCATTGATATTGTCGCTCTTCTACGAAGTCAGAGCTCTTCTACGTTTTGGTAGTATCAACTATTTCAGAAATGGATTGGGGACCATTTTTTCATATTTAATAATAAGAGTTTATTATTTTATTGGGTAGTCATATGTTTTCCTCTTGAGTAAGGATTGATGACTGCTTCTTAGCCTATTTAATTTATAAATCATCGTTAGTTTATCTGGACTAGACAGGAACAAGACACTAACCCATCGGAACTAGAGGCCCAAGCCTCTGTCCTCCATACCCTTTCTCAACGCTGTGTCAGTGACATTGGCATCGCCTTTCTCTGTCTTCCCACCAGGCAATGAAACATCTCCTGCAACCAGAGAAACCCATTCGGTCTTTTCACTTTAAATTGTTGGAGTATAGATAATCGATAGTCTAATTTATTAGAATTTCTTTTTTTTTTTTTATCTTTACTATGATTTTTATATGTTGCCTAAACTATAAGGATGTTTAAGTCACTCTGTATTATTTTTGGATATATATACGGGGCTCTACTCTTAATTTGAGTATCCCTTTTCACTTACGTTTATTCCAAGTTGGTATCAGAGCCATACACTAACCCTACCTCAAACCCTAACCTTCTTCCTAACCTTAGCCTCCACTGAGACTGCCTCACCGGCAAACCACCGAAACAAGCCTTCCTACCTATCCTTCCACCGACTGCCTTCCACCGAAACAAGCCTTCCACCGACTGCCTTCCACCGACTGCCTTCCCACCTATCCTCATAACAGTCTTTCAGCCTCTAGTCGAAACACCGAAACAAATAGCCGCAACACCGAAACACCGAAACAAACAGGCTCTTCTCTGTCCGAAACAAACAGGCTCTTCTCTGTCCGCAACCAACAGATTTCAAGTCTGTCTCCTTAACCACTCGGACATATCGACTGTCTCCAATAACTACACACGACGCCCAGCCTACTGTCGGGTCATAACTCTTCTCTGTCCGTTAATCTGCTCTTGATGCAGTAAAATCATTTATTTATATTTATTGGATTTCTGGGCACCGTGACTTGATTATTTGGGAGCTTTTTGGACCTTCTTTATTTGTCGCTACTGTTCGACCGAAGGTATATTGTTCTCCCTTATTTTATTCCTCTATTTATCTTAGAGTTATTTTTCTGTCACGGGTGCCCTAGTATTGTTGTTGATATGGCTACTACTGAGAGACTTGAGAATCCTACTGTTGACACCTCTACCGTTGAGACATCTATGGGTACTTCCACTTTTATGTTTGACCAGTATACAGTGCCTACTAGCACAGTTGCATTACCAGCATTACCGGGCATGATCTCTCAAAAAGTTACGGCACAATTGTTGAATGGTCGTAACTTCGCTGAGTGGTCACGCTCATTCCAGCTTTTCTTAGGCCGTGTAGGGAAGCTTGGTTGGCTGACGGGATCTCACCCAAAGCCAGTTGATGCCGACCCTGGATATTCTGCGTGGTTCTCTGAAAACTGTGCCATTCTTGGATGGTTATTTGGCTCAATGGAGCCCTCTGTTTGCAGGATCCACCAGTTTCATAGCTCTGTTCCGAAGCTATGGAGCGCATTATCAGAGATGTATTCTCAGTCAGGACGGGGAGTTCGTGTTTATGAGCTTTCTCAGGAGCTCTCATATGCTCGGCAGAGAGATATGACCGTTCAGGATTATTATGGCTATTTGACCCAGCGCTGGCTTGAGTATGAGACTCTACGTTCTCTTGCTGCTATTCCGAAGATAGAGCCCGAGGGGAGCAACATTCTTGCATACTCGAGAGCAGGAGGATAGGATTCACAAGTTCCTTATGGGGCTTCGTGATGAGTTTGAGGGACCTCGTTCTCAGATCTTGTCGATGTTGACACTTCCTTCTCTTTATGAGGTGTATGGGATGATTGAGCAGTATGAGCGTCGAGTCCGTATTGCATTACTTCCAGTTGCAGTTTTGACTCCTTCGATTGACCAGATGGCCCTTGCAGCTGCTGTAGGGTCCCGTTCAGGATCCTTAGTCAGGGATGGGCAACGCTCAAACCAGCGCCGTCAGGGCGCCCCAGATCAGCGCAGACGGGGGGATTCCCGTCAATGTGATTATTGTGGCCGACTAGGACATCTCAGGGCTACTTGCTGGAAGCTCCATCCAGAGCTTAAGCCACCTTCTCGCAGCCGTACTGTTGCTATTGCTGAGGTACCACCGCCCACTACCGCCACTCCTGCTACTGCTCCTCCTTGGCAAAGTGATATGGATGCTATCACTTCCCGATTAGATATACTTATGTCTGCTCTGACTTCTCAGAGTCTGACTACTGCTGCTGTCACCACTACAGGTATATCTCGTGCCTTTCACGCTTGTGCCAGTTCATCTCCCCTTTGGATGTTGGACTCGGGTGCGAATGGTCACATGACAGGTGAGGCCCATCACTTCACCACTTTTGACGAGCCGTTACATACACAGGTTCAGTTAGCAGATGGAACACATGCCCCTATTGTTAGTAGGGGTACAGTCCGTCTCCCAGATGGCCTTACATTACATTCGGTTTTTCATGCGCCAAAGTTGGCCATGAATCTATTATCTGTACATCAGTTAGCCAGAGATTTTCACTGTGCGGTTGTATTCTTATCTGATTCGTGTTATTTGCAGGACCTGAGTACCAGGAGGATTATTATCAAGGGACATGAGAAAGATGGACTGTATTATCTTGGCAATCCATCTCCAGTTTCACCAATTCCTTCACCTGCACCTGCTTTGTCTTTTTCTGTTCCTAGCTTGCATGCTAGTATTTTACCTAGTAGTTGTCGTTATGATTTTTCGTCACAAACTGTTCAATTGTGGCATGACCGTTTTGGACATACAAATTTTAAATATTTATGTATGTTGTTTCCTGCTTTGAGTAATGCTTGTGTGGTGGTAAACTTGATTGCGTTATCTGTTCCCTATCAAAACATGTTAGGGCCAATTATATTCCTCGCATGCACCAGTCACCCAAGCCATTTGACCTAATACACTCTGATATTTGGGGACCCTCTCCCGTTACTGCTCTGTCAGGTGCCAGATATTATGTGACATTTATAGATGATCATACCCGTTGTACTTGGGTCTACCTTTTGCATAGGAAGTCTGATGTGCTCCCTATAATCACTCAGTTTTTACAGATGATTAAGACACAATTCGATGTCATTGTTCGTGCTCTTCGTTCGGATAATGCCAAAGAATATGTGTCTGATGCTTTAGTGTCTCACCTTTCTTCTCAGGGTATTCTTCAGCAACTCACTTGTCCATATACTCCTGAGCAAAATGGTGTTGCTGAGAGGAAAAATAGGAGTTTGATAGGGATGGTACGTTGTCTGCTTAGAGGCATGAGGGTACCAAAATCTTATTGGCATTTTGCTGTTTTGACTTCTACCTTTCTGTGCAATCGTACGCCGAGTCGTGTTCTTCAGCATAAGGCTCCCTTACAGGTCTTATTTCCTGAGCGGACACTTTTTTCGGTCCCCCCTCGTGTTTTTGGATGCACATGTTTTGTTCAGGATCGGTCTCCTACTCGTCATAAACTTGATGATAAAGCGATTCGTTGTATCTTTGTGGGCTATTGTCATCAATCTAAGGGGTATCGATGTTATGATCCTATTAGGCGTCGTATGTATCACAGTCTAGATGTTACCTTTCTTGAGCATATTCCTTATTTTCCTTTCAGTCCTTTGTCTGCCCCTCCAGTTGATGATACTCCCTTTGATTTTCCATTACCACAAGAGTCAGAGTCATTGATCACTATCCCTACAGGGTCATCCGTTTTTCCTCCAAAGGAGTCACTCATCCCTGTCAGTACAGAGTTACCAGTCTCTCTTCCTTTGCAGGTGTATGTTCGTTGTCCTCGCTCTCATCACCCTGCTGATATCCCCTCTACCTCAGGCGATGCAGGTAATACTTCTCAGTTTGTTGAGCATATTGATGCACCTGTTGTTAGTACTGATGAGATTACAGGTGCTGAGCCAGTTACTTTACCTGATAAGATATTATCAGTAGAGGATGGTGATTTAGGGCGTCGTTATCCAAGGCGTGATCGCCGTCCAGTTGATCGATATGGTTGGACCGCCAAGATTTTATATCCGATCTCTGCTTATGTTTCTTATGGTAATCTGTCTCCCACATTTCGAGCTTATACTATGGCCTTATCAGATACGCTGGTTCCTCGCTCTATTTCGGAAGCTATGCGGGAGCCCCAGTGGGTTCTTGCCATGCAGACAGAGATGGACGCTCTTCAGCGTAATCATACATGGGATCTTGTCTCCTTACCTTCAGGGGTGAAGCCTGTTGGCTCCCTGGGTTTACACCCTGAAGTTTCTTGCGGATGGTACTATTGATCGTTACAAGGCTAGACTTGTGGCGAAGGGCTTTACTCAGGTACCAGGTCGTGATTTTGGTGCTACATTTGCCCCCGTGGCAAAATTGACTACTGTTCGGTTGATTATTTCTCTGGCTGCGGAGTACTCTTGGCCTCTTCATCAATTAGATGTGAAGAATGCGTTTCTTCACGGTGATCTGGACGAGATTATTTATATGGATGCACCACCGGGCTTTCGTGGTGAGGGGGAGTATGCTGGAAAGGTATGTCGACTGCGTAAGTCTCTTTATGGACTGAAACAGTCGCCACGAGCCTGGTTCTCTCGCTTCAGTGATGTAGTCATACGATTGGGGTTCACCAGGTGTCATTCTGATCATACCTGCTTTATTCGACGGAATACTTCTGGACAGTGTGTTATCCTTCTGGTATATGTTGATGATATTATTATTACTGGTGATGATGTTTCTGGGACTGCACAGGTCAAGATAGACCTTGGGAAGGCCTTCGATGTGAAGGATCTTGAATTTCTGTGATACTTTCTTGGGATTGAGGTTGCCCGTAGAAGCAGAGGTATTGTTCTTTCTCAGAGAAAATATGTTTTGGATCTTCTTTCAGACACTGGGATGTTGGGGTGCAAACCGGCATCATCACCCATGATTCCAAACCTGAAGCTTACTGCTGAAGGTGAGGAGTTGAAAGATCCGACAGTTTATCAAAGATTGGTAGGTAGACTTATCTACTTAGCCAATACTAGGCCGAACATTTCATTCGCAGTCAGCCGAGTTAGTCAGTTCATGCATAGGTCATGTCAGCCTCATCTTGATGCAGTTTATCATATTCTTCGGTACCTCAAGTCTTGTCCTGGACTTGGGTTATTTTATGCATCAGGATCTCAGACCGGTTCTCTAGCCTGTTATTCAGATTCAGATTATGGGGGGAGCATGTGATGGTCGATCTACTACGAGTTTCTGTGCTTTTCGAGGGACTCATCTTATCTCTTGGAAGAGCAAAAAGCAGGCAGTTGTCTCCCGCTCGTCCGCAGAGGCAGAGTATCGGGCATTGACACTTGGCACATGTGAGATTATCTGGCTACGATCGATTCTTGACGAGTTGGGTTTTTCAGTGACCTCTCCATCCACATTATATTTGTGATAATCAATCTGCTATTCAGCTCGCTTCTGACTCTGTACTACATGAGAGAACGAAACATATAGAGATCGATGTTCACTTTCTTTGGGAGAAGGTCAGCAATGGTCTTGTTACTCCATCGTTTGTGGGGACCAGTGATCAAGTTGCGGATGTTTTTACCAAACCTGTCACTCTGTCTATTCTTCGGAACTCCGTTGTCAAGCTAGGCTTAGTTGACATTTTTGCGCCTAGCTTGAGGGGGAGTGTTGGAGTATAGATAGTCGATAGTCTAGTTTATTAGGATTTCTTTTCCCTTTTTTACCCTTACTGTGATTTTTATATGTTGCCTAAACTACAAGGATGTTTAAGTCACTCTGTATTATTTTTGGATATATATACGGAACTCTACTCTTAATTTGAGTATCCCTTTTCACTTACGTTTATTCCAAGTTAAATCAACAATGTAAGAAAAGAAATATTGTATATTCCAGGAGACTCTCACAAGAGTGAGTGGAAAGTGTTGAATATCGATCGGTGAGAATTAGGCGCAGATCACCATCTTCGCCTTCGAAGATGCAGATCAGAAATGCAGATCTGTTGTATCTCAACCTTTCAGCTTCGTTGGCAGTTGGGTTTGTCGCAGATTCTGTATTCGAATCAAATTCTAGGGGGAAACAGCTTATCTGCAATGTCTTGAAATCTTGGTTCTTCATTGGGATTCTTGTTATTATTGTCGTCTAGAAGGGGCGAACAGGCTTTTTAGAGACGAAGTTGTTGCGCTCCCTCTTCCAAACTTGGGGGATCCTTCGGTTGTATATTGGAACCTATGAGCTACCGAGTTTTGGAGAGTGGGGGGAGAAAGAAAGTACTTTTTTTTTTTTTTTTCTCTATAGGATATTATTATTATTTTTTTTGATTAATGCTGCACTTTGTGCAAAATTATCTCTCCACAAAAGACAAATGTATGAATAATAGAACAAAGAACTATATTTCGGGCGATATTATTATTATTATTTTTAATGTTTTAGTTATTATAATAAATCAATGAACTTTTGATCTAATAATATTTTTCGATCTTGTGAAGACTTTATCATATTAAATTACCCTTTTTTTTTAATATCCTAGGTGTCTGAAGATAAATTTATGGACGATGATCTTAGGTGGTTGAGCTACTACTAGAGTAACCCCTTTCCAATTTTGTTCTCCATGGGGTATTATTGATATGGAAAATGTTATGCTTATTAAAAAATTTTACTAAATCTTTTATATCAAATGATGAAGTATAATCTATGTCATTTAATATTAATAGGACCCACTTATTTGATATTGAAAAATGGTACCACATCACTTGAGGTGGAGATTTGATAAAAAAAAATAAAATTGGTAAGTATAACATTACCGTATTAATATTAGTTTATGCATTCAAAAATTTGTTCTAGGTTTATAGATCCTATGATTTGGGTGGATAAATTATACTTTGACCCTCTAAACTATGGACTTAATTTTACTTTGTCCTTTAAAGTATTGAATTTTTCATATTATCCCCTCCAGTGTTTGAATTATTTCACATTTCCCTAATTACAAACTTATGTTATTTTTTTAGATAAAAAGTGTTGATGTGTCGAGACAAAGTGAAAAAATTTATATAATTCAAAGAATAAAATGAAATGACGTCCCATTAAATATGTAACGGTTGTTCATAATTGATTAATGTGAAACTAAGATCACAAATGAAAAACACAATAGTTGAAGGCGTCAAAGTGTAATTTGTGCATCACATTTCTTTCCTTAACGTTCGTTGGCCAAAGCTTTTGTTGGTCTAGCTTTCTGGACCATTGTCTTTTGTACTTCTCACGCTGGATTTTGCACGTGCAGGGGTCAGATGGGGGCTATAACAAGATATGGTTTGATGGAAACTACAACTTATGTATAAAGCTCGTTAAGGGAGTTGATTTTGATTCGAATCTAATTAATCGAATATGATGGTCTATTTAACCCCGAATCTATATCATCTTTCAAAAATTTTGATATTTGAATACCTAATCCCACTGTGACCCACTGAGAAACCTTGCAAACTCAAACGCTATCTTGATATCATAGCTTTCCAATGCAAATAATGCTATATAAACTTAAAATACAAACTTGATCAACCACTGCTTGATTTTACTTTGAATCCCAGTATTTATTAGGACTTCCTATCATTCAATGATTGTGATTGATCAAGTCACAAGTGACATTTTTCGACACCCATCAAAATTGGCCCAAGTGAATGAAGATTGTATACAATATTTCAATGTTTCCAGATATCAACATTGAAGTTCCACAGAAAACACATTTACAAACAATCTGACTTATAGGAAGGCCACTGTCATATTTAAGTCAGCAGAGCTTTGGCTATTATAATTTTCATTGAAGCTGAAGCTTTGTAGCTCTTCTTTTTTGCTGAACAGATCTAAACTATCACACTTGCAAACTCAAACTAACTCCAAAACTGAGAAATTATCCCAAGATGTCGATGCAGTGGAATAAGCATTCTGTGCACGGAAGGATGCCCTGCGAGAACACCAAGCAGTCAAGAACTATCCATCAACGAAAACTTTGAAGTCATTAACGATGACAAACCTGGGGGAAGTTTAGAAGAAAGACTTGGAGCGAGTTTTTTGTCAATAAACTCTACGAAAATGTTACTTCAGACTTGTTGCCGATTGCCTCCAACATCTCGGAGTTCAGTTCTTTTCAAAGCCTGGGTTTAGTCTAAATGAGCAGCAGATGTTCAGTAAAAAGTGCAACAGATCAGCAATAAAATTACCAGTTCAACACGTCCAGCTCAGAGAGGACAATAATATGGTTAAAAACAAAACTAAATTAAAATAAATCTAAGCATTATTATGTCCACAATCCAAGGCACCTTAAATTTTGGATTCTGCTCCAAGAAAGCCGGTGGTCTTTTGTAAACAACAGATGCTACCCGAATCAAAATCCGAGTTAAACCAAATATCACATACTTCTTATCATTTGTCTTATAGTCAAAGAAATGAACCAGCCACATGCCTCTCCTCCACTTCGTCTCTACTGATCTCCGATTTTCATCCTGAACCAACCATTTCAAAATTCAACCTCCAAAACCATATGAATTCCAACTAGATAAAACGTGAATAAACAGAGTTGGAAGTAAAGTTTGAAACCTTGAGAAACATTTCCAATGGAGCATCAAATACTGCTTCCACTTCACTAGCATTAGGAGCAGGTTTGAAGGCTTTCCTGTCAGAAAGTATGCCAACAACAGGAATTACTCTAACGAGGTGCTGCATACGAAAGATAAAATTGTTAGTGTGTTACACAAAAAAAAAAAGGGTAAATTGCATCGTCATCTCATGAACACTACACTCCCTTCTGCTTTGATTGTCGGTAATAGATTCACCATACTGTTTAGCGTTCTATTAAGAAACCGTTAATGGTTTAATGAGGTAAGAATCAATATACCGAAGATACTAGTATTACTCTTCTAAATCCTAAATAGCCAAATATCGCAGGAAGTATAAAGGGCTTTCAAAGAATGACAATGGTTCAAAAATTGTGTTATGTGATTGCAATGCCAAAAACCCTTCGCAGAAGTAACTATGTCGCCAATAATGTTAAAACAACTCTCCCAGAGACATTATGATCCTGCCCAAGTGGAGATTAACTAAGCTGGTGTAAGGATATTGCTGCGATAGGCATATTATACTTACCAAGGACAAGAATGGCTCAAATGTAATTACAATATTTACAAATGAAGGATCCAAGCCTATCTCTTCACTTGCTTCTCTAGTTGCTGTCTCAGCATCATCTGCATCTGCCTCCTCTGCTTTCCCACCAGGCAATGCAACTTCACCTGCAGCCAAAACCACTTATCTGGGTGAAATCAACAAAAACAAACACAAAAAATGGAAAATTATTGGTGACAACAAAAGACTCTTGCTAAGTAAGCTGAACAAAATTAAAAGAGAGAATTACACCTAGACTCCTTGAGGTTTATTACTTAATCACTGAGAACCCTAGATATTTAAAATATTACACACAGACTCTCTGAAATTTGTATGCGCATAACACTTAGAGCCCTGCTATAAATATATCATTTAATAAATTACACCCAGACTCCCTAAAGTTTGTAAACATATATTAATAAGACTCCTTAAGTTTAAAATCTTATAGTTAGACCAAAAATACTTCAATTAAAGATAAAATATTAAATATTTTAAATTTTACAATTAAAATTCATGTTCTATTGTATCATTTGTTGAAATAAATTCAAAAATAAAAATTCAAATTTTTCTTAAAAAATCGTAATTAGTATACAATTATATTGTTTATTAGAATTTAATTTGGTCGTTTAAATGACCAAATTAAAATACCAAACTACACTAATTAAAGCTAAAAGATATTGTGTCCATTAAAGTTTGATTCCTTGTTTAATTTTTTAGTTTTATTCTAATAGATAGTCTAATTATATACTAATTATGATTTTTTTTTTTAAAAAAACTAAATTTTTATTTTTAATTTTATTTCAGTAAATGACATAATAGAACATGAATTTTGGATGTAAAATTCATGTTCTATTATGAATGACTTAAACCCCTTGTTTGATTTGTTAGTTTTATTCCAATAGATAATATAATTGTATATTAATTACGATTTTTTAAGAAAAAATTAAATTTTTAATTTTAATTTTACTTCAATAAATGATATAATAGACCATGAATTTTAGTTGTAAAATTTAAAATATTTGATATTCTATCTTTAATTAGAATATTTTTTGTCTAAGTATAATATTTTAAACTTAAAGGGTTTAAGTATTATATACCTACAAATTTTAAGGGAGTCTAAGTGTAATTTATTAACAAATATATTTATAGTAGGGGTTTAAGTGTTACGCACGTACAAACCTCATAGGGTCTGTGTGTAATATTTTAAATGTCAAAGGACCTGAATAATTAAGTGACAAATCTCAGGAGACCTAGATGTAATTCTCCCAAAATAAAACAATACAAACCATAATCAGTAATCACCATCATCAACAAAAAAGCATCCATTTCCTCAAATGAACAGCAAACAAGAACGAATACAAAATTCTCCCAGTCCACATCATGCAGAAGAGAAGGAATTGATTAATTAAACCAATCAATAAATATTTAACATAAACATCAAAATCTAACTGCACCCCATCTCTGATATGATCAAATAAACCAACTTATACACGCACAATCTTCATAATAATCGTCATACCCAAGGAGCCCATATGCTTAATTAGACGGTTGTGTTTTGTGTGTGCGATGAACAATCAATTTAACAGAATAATAGAAAAATAATACAAGAATTTACGTGAATTGACAATTTGTCCACATACACGATCCTAGCGGCGGATTTATTTTTATTCCACACTGAATTAGGGTTATAACTTAACTTATTTATGTTACAATCTAATTAGGGCATTCCGAAGGCACGTGCTGCTCCATACCGTACAACACCCACTTGACAATCTGAAGAAAATCCACAAGTTAAATTGCCCTAAGACCCAAAACTTCGTTGCATACACAGGATACTCGATATTGGTCATTATAAACCAAAAACAGCCACTAGTAACCAATTAACCATATATACACAATCAAGACAAGCACTAGCTCAATAATCAGAAATCACAAGTTCAATTGCCCAAAATAATTAGAAGGCACTGACCTGAGTGAGTAGAGAGCTTCGAAGCCCTCTTAGTGAGAATGACACGAAGTTCACCATCATCCCCTTCAAAGAGACAGATCAGAACAGCAGCTCTATTGGGTGTGAACTTTTTTGGCTGATTGAACACTGGGGTTGCAGAATATGCAAAACCCAGTTGAGGAACAACCTTCCCTACGCTCTCTTCAGTTCTTTGCTCTTCATCATCAGTATCATCTAACGTCGGAGGAGGTTTGTAGAGACGGAGCTGTTGAGCTAAGGCTATAAGTCTTGATGATTGTAATCGGTTTGGTGCCATTGATAGGGATGCTGTTATGACCAAAAAAAAAAAAAAAAGGGTTAATCTCATTTTGCACCCTAAAAGATTGTTCAAATTTCAATTTGTACCCTAAAGATCAAAAATTTTAATTTTCACTCTCAAAGATAGAAATTTGTATCAATGTGCATCTCCAAAGATAAAAAATCTCAATTTGCACCCTCAAAGATAGAAATTTGTATCAATGTGCACCTAAAATTAAATTGATAAATTATACCTAGATCCCCTCATGTTTGTCACTTAATCATTTGAACTCCTTCACATTTAGAATATTCTCCTCACATCTCATAACGTTTGTGCATGTATAACACATAACCACTTTTCGTTGATATCTGTTAATATAATCATTAAAAAAATATGATTTTATCCTAATAAAAAATTATAATTTCATATTACATTTTATTTTGTGGATTCGATATACTCTAAAGTTAAAAATCAAGCTTACCATTTGAATGTCTAATAAAATGTAGATATTTATATAAAAGGTAATATGAAAAACATTATATAAATATTTATATTTTATTAAATATTCAAATGGTAAACTAGATTTTGAACTTTAGAATATATTAAACCCATAAAAAATAGGGTAATATGAAATTATAATTTTTTATTAGGATAAAATTATATTTTTTAACGGTTATATTAATAGATATCAATGAAAATGGGTTACGTGTTATACGTGCACAAATGTCATAAGATGTAGAAGTAATATTCTAAATGTGAAGAGGTCTAAATGATTAAGTGACAAGTATGAGGGGATTTAAGTATAATTTATCAATTTAGTTTTTAGGTGCACATTGATACAAATTTCTATTTTTGAGGGTGTAAATTGAGATTTTTTATCTTTGGGGTGCACATTGATATAAATTTCTATCTTTGAGGGTGCAAATTGAGATTTTTGATCTTTGGGGGTGCACATTGATACAAATTTCTATCTTTGAGGGTGTAAATTGAGATTTTTGATCTTTGAGGGTGCAAATTAAAATTCAAACAATCTTTCGGAGTGCAAAATGAGATTAACCCAAAAAAAAAAGATAGGGATGGTGTTCAGTGAGAGAATTCCCTTAACTTTTGGTGGGTATCAACTGTGCACAAGTGCCTCGGCGTCTGGCCACCATTTTAAAAATTATATAATAAAATAAAAGTGTGTTTAAATTTTATCTCACTCATATTTTTTCCCTCAAAACTATCACCAATTACTTACCTCATCCATCATTCTTTTGTCAGATTCAAACGTCAAATCACATCACTCATTTCTATCACATATTTGATTATTTATATATTTCTTCCCTAAAAATATCACATAACTCATTTCTATCATATATTTAATTATTTAATATTTAATTAATTTATAATTAATATATTTTAAAAAAATTTAATATAATAGGATCGATTTTTTAGACGCTCCAACTTTATATTTTATCGTGCCTTTAAGCACGGGTTATAACTAGTCTAATAATAAGAGTTGACTAGTTTTAATGATATGGACGATAGCCAATTATAGGGGAAGGCTACGGTACTGCTGGCCAAAATTCTGTACTGTACCGAAAAGTTGCGGGGCCTTATCAGACGAAATACAAAAAAGAAAACAGTAGAGCATAAAAGAACAATCGATTAAAAGGGTTACTTGCAAGTTGAAACTAAATTATAATCGATCAAAATTTATAATGATCTATCGAACTTTACTTTTGAGTTACAACAAAGTAGATGAAGGTAGGGGTTGCTAGGTAACAATAGGTAAAACAAAGATCGATCACTATAATTATGTTCGATCAATTTTGTAATTATGTTCGATTTCAGAAGGAGTGTGATCGAAAAAATGTTATGATCGATTGTAAATTTAAATGATCGATCGATTGATTTTTTAAAATGAGTTACAACAAGATGGATGAAGGTGGTGGTTACTGGGGAACAATAGGAATATTTTTGATCGATCGATGTATTTATAAATTGATCGATCATAAAACTTATGATCAATTAGTTTATAAATATGTTCGATTTTTGAAGGAATGAAATGTTTTGAGATTGAACAAATAAATTGTGGTTAATAAGACACTGAATGTTTTGTAATCGATCTAATAATGATAGATTGATCATTAAATATATGATAATTTACAGCCAAAAAAATTCGAAATAATAATCATTATTTTATGGGTTGTGATCGATCAATAAAATTACGATTGATCAACAAAAATTGTTCAATACAAAATACATTAATTTCGATTTGAATAAAAGATATGAAACTACAAAAAACACCTGATATAAATAGAGGGGCATAAGCTAATAGATGTTGGGTTTTTTTGTCATTTTGCACCTTAAGTGCTATCGATACCCATTGCAGGTGTATTACCCCGCCATTAACGAATTCTCCCAAACCCTAACTCCCTTTACTTGAACAAGTTATGTATACTACAATTGGGCTCAATCGACTGTTCTCCCAAACATATAGGTCCTTTGTACATTCAATTCAAGAAGCTATAATCCCTTGTAGATTGACATGGCCAGAGGAACAGCCGGAGTGACAAAGAAGAGGAAGCCAGTGAATGGGATGACTAAGCAAGTCGTTATTGCCCAGAAGAAGAAGGATGGTGAAACAGATAAGAGTTCGAAAGGTGACACTGGTTTCTTAAACGAAGAAGCAAAAACTTTGTTTGAAATCGGCCATTATTAGTGGAACGAGGCGTTGCACTGGGTGAGTTAGTTAATACCGAGTGTCCTAAGTTTTTTAGAGGTTGTAATTGGGAGAACATCTTTGATGTTAAGAAGGATGATAAGGCATATAACAATGTTGTTAGATTATTTTATGCAAATTTACATGACTTTGATAAGGTTGGGCACACTTTGAAGTCTGTAGTTAAGGGTAAAGAAATAAAAGTTTTCCCTAATTTTATTTCAAAAATGTTGAAAGTTCCCAAACCTGTCATCACTGAGAATTCCATTGTATTTCCTTACAAAAGTAAAGAGGAAGTCCTTAGCATGGAAACGGTTATTGAAACAATTTGTGGTGTTGATATCGAATGGGCGGATGAGAACAATAAAATATATCAAAAAAACCTTCGTTTGCTTTATAGGATGTTAAACATAATAGTTGCTTGTAACATTGATCCCAAAGGACATACAACTGAATTTGGATATGATAGAGCTCAACTTCTATATGCGATTGGTAAAGGGGGATGCATTGACCTTCCCCATTACATATTCTAGCTGATTATGAATGCCTATGAGTTGCAAGATAGCAGGCACAAACATTGTGAAGTTTTATGGGGTTGTGATTGACCCTGACGAATCGTATACTGCTGTCATGGGTATGATAAATGAGGGTACTATGAAAAAAAATACTGGTCATGCGGGGCCTAGAAATTTTATCAAGACTATGTCACATGTGTCTTACTCCCAAACTGAGGGCATTACTGTGACAGAGGGTGAGGGTTCAAGAGTCAATCCATTCAACATGAATACTATTGGAGAAAAGCTGGAGCAAATAGTAACTAGGCAAAATTGTTTGGCCACACAGTTGCATGCCATTCAGGAATGCATGAAGGGATGTTTGGAAAAGTTAGAGAGTAAGATTGATGGACTGTACAAGGAATTTAAAGAGTATGGAAAGAAGTGATGTTGATGGGTTTTGTGTGGAAGAAATTCCTATGAATGGAAATGTGTATATGCCTGTAAATCTTTTGGGCCATATTAGATTTGGTGACCTTGTAACCTATAAAATGTAATCAATTCTGTTGAATAGGATCTTTTGGCAATAGTATGGAATATTTTGTTGTATGGTGTTGTTAATAGTAGTTTTTACAAAATCATTATTTTCAGTAACATTACAGTAGTATCTTAACATCAAAATGTAGTAACCTTACATCAGAATATAGTAACTTGACATCAACATGTAGTAACCTTTCATCAAAATGTTATAACCTCACCCTTAAAGATTACAACATTACCTCTCCGTGTAGTACCCTTAAAAAAATTTGTTAGAACTGATATAAGGTTACCTCGTTCCACTGACAGGAGTAATACAACAAAGCAATGACCCTTGTATAGAACAGTAGTTCCTCCCTCTCAACCATCTTTGTTTACCTCCCTAAAATTCCATATACTTCCCCAAACCAAACTACCAACTGCACATTTGTTAGTTCAACAACAAAGCAACATACATTGGAAGAAGAAAGCAGCAACATACTGATCAGTTGGATAGGCAAGCGTGTAGAGGAAAAACATATAAATGAGATTACTAATATAATTGTAGGTGAATCCCACCTGGTTCATGTTGGTGATGTAGCAATTGTAGAAGTTTGTCCAAAATGAGTTGCAAACTTGAAACTTGTCACTCCTGATTTGCGTACATGAAAGTTGTCCAAAATGAGTTTCATACATTAAACTTGTCAAAAGGTGGGGGTTTTACCCTGTGTAAAATTGTTTTGAATTTTTTAGTCAATTTAAATAACGTTTATTATGCAATTTTCACAATGATATGAAAATAATCACCTTGACAACCCTTAAAGTGGAGTGAAGAATTGTCCATGACCACTTAAGTGAAAGTCATGAAAGTCATCCTAAACAGTCAATGTATCGATAAAGAATGATCAGTTAAATGGTGCATTGCTTGATAACTTATCAAATAAAAGGAGAACTTTGTATTATAAAGATGTTATTGAACTCCACCCATATTTATGTACATGTGCGAAATGGTCAAACGGTTCCTGAGTTGGCAATGGTTGTTGGGATCCATCTGCTTGTGAAAAGGGCATGTCCTCATATGGATCAATAGTCTGGGTAGTCAACAAAGGACATTTACGAATATTATGCCCAGTTACCCTGCACTTGCTACATCTTCGGGACGTAAATGGATTATTATTTCGTATACGACCTGGATGTCCCTTTGTTGTAACAATATATGGATCAGTTACCCCAAACGTATATAACTCAGTAGTCCTACTTTTGTGTTGTGTAGCGGTCTCCTCTGCTATACAAAGGGATTTATGATTGGTCTTCACCTGAGAGGTTAAGCCATGCAATGTACTTCTTAGGTCCTTAGTTGCTTTGTAACCATGCGAATCATAGTAACACATATGACTACACATGGTCATTAGTCCAGCATACCATGTCGAAATGGTCAGAGTGTTACTTCTAGGCGGCACATCCTCATTTCCTAAATCTCCCTTTACGAAAATAGTCTAGCGCTTTAGAACGAGACTCGGAGGGAACATTTAATGTGCTCATATTTTAGCACTGCTATGATGTAGCAGCATGGAATACCAACAAATTCTATTTTCAAGCAGTTGCACTTCATACTATAATTTTAAGGAGAACATATGACATTCCATGTTGATTCTGGTTGCGTGTAGTGAGACAAGTAGTAACTACAATGGATCTTGTTGTCAATTTTTTGGACTGCAAAGAACATGGATTCGGACTTCAACTTATTGCGCACGTTGAAGAACAATTTCCTTGTATATATGGATGCTGCATGCTCTTCAAGACATGACAATTATGTGGTTGTCACTGGGGATGTGTGCTGGGTATCATGGTCATCATTTGCTTCATTCTTCCTGATCCTTGCCAAAGCCCGGTCGTATTGCCTCACAAACTCAAAGAGTCAGAGATGGGTCTTCAGAAAACGATTGAAGTATGAGTTCATACCCTCACATCGTTGTATACTTTTTATGCCCACAAAGAATTTACCTCTTAAATATGCTTAGCCCATTTTGACCGTTTGGAATAAACTTCTGATATCCAATTATTATTCTCCAATCCAAATGAATCCACCAACGCTTTCCATCGATCCACAAATTCTTTTGGACTACAACGATCACACATATAATGTTTCAATTGTTGAACAAAATTTTCAACACTAATATTTGACAACGCATTTCTTGTCAAATGCCACCTGCATAATCTGTGTTGTATTGGGGAAAACTTGCTCTATTGCTCCTGCCATGGCCTTATCACTATCAGTGACAACTGAAATAGGCGTCTTACCCTCCATTGCACGAAGAAAAGTATGCAATACCTACATGTATGTCGCAACAGTCTCATCTAAGAGCAAGGCGCACCCAAAAATTGATATTGCATTATGGTTGTTGACACCTGCAAGTATAACAAAAGATTTCTTGTAGGCATTAGTTCGGTATGTGGTATCAAATACCAAGACATCGCCGAAGCATGCATAGTCAAGCCGTGACGATGAGTCTGCCTAGAACAAACAATTTTGTGAATTATCTTCATGGACACTATAGTTGAAATAGAACATAGGGTCTGATTCTTTTTTTCCATTATAGTAGTTTAACGCCCCCTCTGTATCACCGTCTTGAAGTTGTGATTGGCGTTCTATCACAACATCATCGTTCAAATCTTTCATGGTAAATCCAACATTATGATAACTTCTTGCTTGTTGCACCAAAAAATCCCTTACTTGACTTGTATGTATGCCAACATTATGCAATGCATTTGTTTGTTCTCTATCGAGACTCTTCACACGCCTATGCGATAGAAGGAATGGCACACCACGTAGTGTAACCAATTGGTGATTATGTTCCTAGACAAATTCCTTTACAATCCACTATTCAGACCCATTGTCATACTTGACACGAAAAGTTGCGTTACATCCCACCCTTGTTAAGCCTCTTGGTTCCCGAATGCGGTCATTGCAGTCAAGGTGTTTGGGTGATCAATAACCTTCTCTTGAATAAACCCACTGTCTTGACACTAGAATTTTATTTTTGTTACACTTCAAGTCATCTTTCCAAACACTAAATCCCAAAAATTTTGTGTAATTGTTATAAAACTCCCCAGCCGCTTCATGTGTGGTGAATGTCATTTGCATTACCTCACCCACTGTCAACCCATTGACTCTATTTTCCTCGACACCATGATCAAAAATAGTTTGATCATTTTGCATATGATTCTCGTACTCAGCATCTGTTACGGCAACATTAAGATCTAATACTATACCTTTACCTGTGTCACTGATCGTACACGCCATTACTACACCTATGGAATTACAAAAAAAGTTGGAGTTATAAAATGTTTGCTAAATTTGAGACAATTTTTATACGATAATGCAGAATTCATGTTCATTCTCTCAATAAAATATTGCATATATTATCAGCAATATAGTATTTGAATAATTATGAAGGATAAACAAACTATTACATAAATACCACAATTATAGTACACATATTATTACCAAATGTTTGATACCTGAGTAAAACTGAATATAGTTGTAGGGAGATTAATTGAATCCAATTCACATCTTCCGTGCACTTCTATTGTTTTAAAGAACATGGGTATATTGACTTCTTACAAACATGTTTGGATGTAGTGGAAAGAGTCAAGGAGAGTCTTTGGTAGTTGGGATATTTACTTGTTAATTCAATGAAGTTACTTAATGACAATTAAGATGCCCTAGTTGGGTTGGTCGGGTAATAAAATTAAGATCCTCACCAACTAAATTGTGATTAAACGGGTTATGCATGCATTGTGTTAACACATGTAGGGTCAAAATTAATTTTGACTTCTTCCTGTAGGTGGACTCCATAAAAACGGAAATCCCGCTCACCCATTCCCGCTGCAAATTTCCCATTTTTTCACTCCCTTTCCATTTCTTTATTTCTCTCTATCGTTCTATCGCTCCATCTCTATATCTCTTTTTTTTTCTCTTTCTCTCTATCCAGCCCTGGCTACATCACCAGCGCCACATATTTTGTCTTCTCCCTGGTATCATTCTTATCTTCCTCTCTCTCTCTCTCTCTCTGTCTCTGTCAAACACACACACACAAATGGAACACACAAACACAAACAGAACACAGACACAACAGAGAACATACACAGCCACATTTTGCAAAAAACACTTCGCATTTGCCCCCTCCACCAAGCGCACACACATATCGCTCAAGACACAAACTTTTAGAAATAGGGCTTGTAATTTTGACAAAATTGATTATATTAATAGATTTTTTTTTTGGAGAAAATTATTGTTGTTAATTTGATGGGTTAAGGCCATTAATTTGAATGCATATCTCTTAATTGTTGTTAAATTTAATAGATATGCATTCAAATTAATGGGTGTGGGTTTGTATTAAATGAGAACTTTGTGTTTGGTTACGACGATACTTCGATTTGGATTGTTGATCAATTGCGAATTTGAGTTGATTTGAACTCCGTGTATTTCTATTGTTTAAATTCTCTTAAAAACAGTTCTCTTACCAATTGCCTCCGTTTTTTTTTTGTTTGTAGATATTTGTATGATATATGCACATTTGAACCATGAAAAGGAAAACAAATGTTGAAGTTGGGAAAATTATGACTGACAAGATGGTAGCTGCTACATCTTCGCAAGGTGGCACTTCGAGTGTTACTGCGAAGAGGAAACAAAGGGTATGTACTATGAACACATATATTACATGGACCAACTCTGCGTTATAACATAACTTATGTGTTTTGATATCTTTGTTTGATGCATTACATCTATATTCAGCCACTAATGGGTACACGTTGTTCGCCATCAAGTATCATAAAAGTTGTAAATGGGTTAACTGACGATCAGAAACGTGCAGCGAAGGCCATGGGTTTAGAAAGGTTTACCGCCATGAAATGCACTGTGGTCAGGAGGAGCTTATGTGAGTGGTTGATGAAAAAATTTGATCCCGCTACGGCTGTGTTACATATCCATGGTAAATCAATTAAGTTCTCCTCTGAGGACATTTATTACATAATGAGGATGTCAAACACAGGCATTGAGTTGGACACTGTAGGTTCTTCGGACCAAACAGAGGAACTTAAAAAATTAATTTTTAATGGAAAGAGGGAGCTGTCGTTGAATACTTTGGTTGGTAAACTGAAAGAATTAAAGCATGATTCATTTACTTTTAGGTGCTTATTTGTTCTATTCATAATAGGCCGACTTCTTTCCCCAACCATGAAAATGACAATTAATAGTTCATACGCCAAGCATCTTGTGGATGTAAATGTATTATCTGCTATAAACTGGAGAAAATTTGTTTATGATAGTATTATTGATGGCATACGAAATTTCAAGGAAAAATCAAGGCATAATATTTGTGGTTGTATCATTGTCCTACATGTATTGCGTTATTTACTTAGTTGCTAATTCATTGAACTGCTTTCTTATTCATGGCAGTTGTATTAATTACTTGAACGTTATCCATTTGCAGATTTTCTATTTTGAGCACGTGACACCAGCTGAGGAATCCTACATTCCATTTCTGTCATGGCCATTCCCTCGGATGTTAGTTTGGGGGGATAAAGAAATAGGCTAGCGAATGACTGTTCTAAAAAAATTGGATGGATACAAAAAAATAGGAATAACTTATGAAGGATATTATACTCTTTAATTCTAGTTTTATTGTTAATTTTTTCATAATGGAAGATATTCTTTACATGACGTGGTATTAACTAATACTTGGATTATCGTAGATAATAGTTACAATTGAAGAGTCACTCAATTTTCCTAACCTAGATGAGGGACCCAATGAGAGGACAACATTTGAACATTCAGATTATGTTCTTGTCACTGATGTGAGGAGTAAAGTGAGGACAACAGGCGTTGCTTATGCTCAAAACATGCAAGTTACCTTTATGTAGGATATATATGGAGGTAGAACAATATAAATCATTATTACTATTATTTTCAATGACTAACACTTCAATGTGTTATGTAGGATTTTGACAAGAGATCGTCTAAGGTTGAGGTTGCATTGTCTACATTTCGATCGAACCATGAAGCTTTGTCTGTCAAGTTCACATTTGAAGTTAATGAAATTAAAAAGATGCTGGAAACTCTTTCTGAAAAGGTGTGTAAAAATGGGAGAGATCCACCTACGGCGGAGTATGTGCATGTGAGTACACTATATTACTGTGTTATCCTTTACCATACTACATGTGTGTGCTGCTTTGTATATTTTATGTGTTGTAAAATGTGAACCAAGAATTATTGGATGACAATGAAGACGAGGTCCGGGTTGACAACACCAATGAAGTTATTTTACTCACAACTTTAAACGAATTAAATTTTTTAGTGCACATGGACCAAAAATGGCAGACACTCCACTTGCAGGTTGTTGATGGGTTGGTTCCCCATATTACTGATGTTAGTTATGAAGTAGGCAATGCAATATGAAACTACATTTTTCATGACAAACTTGATGCAGAGTATGTCACAATTACAACCATTATAGGGTGTTTATTATTTGCAGTTCTTATGCAAATTATACCTTACATGTTGTAATTTTACTGTGAGACGATTGTTCAGTTTGAAAAATTTCATGCGACAAGAATGACAATGAAGTCATTGGGACCAAGACTTTGGTTCCTGAGCGAGGTCAGTTATATAATTTTCCCATATTGGTATACCCAATTTTGAATTAACTGGCGACGGCTTAAATGTATGCATGTAAAATTTTGTACACAGTTAATCAATGTTGTTGCATACATTATGCCACCCACAGATATGGGGAACAACGAAACACAAAAGGCCAGGTGATATATTCCGACTTGGTTTGCGGTAATACTCCACAATTAAATTTTGGTTTTATGTGATTTTCTTCGTTTACTGCCTCTTATTGATGTTCAATATAAACTTACGTCTTTATAATTTCACAAATACTTAAATTGTAGCAAACAGTCATTTACTATACATCTGAGGGGAAAACTGGTGTTCATATGTAACGAAAACTCATGAGATTGTGTGGCCAATACATCCAGGGCATCAACATGGGTGAGAAGGTTTGACTGGATAAAAACTGACAACAGATTCTGCATTACAAAATCATAATCTATCAAACTATGTACGTCACCATAGTGTACTGACTGCAATTGCCTTATGTAGATATATGTCTCCATTAACGACGGCAAAAAACATTGGTATTTCTGCGTTGTGGACATACAACAAGAAGAAGTCCTCCTACTGGATACTCTTCCAAGTCGAACAATGAAGCATGCATGACATAAGCAAGTGGATGATGTGGTATGTGTGATCTAATTTGGAATGCAAAATATAATCCATGCAACTCATTCGAGGGTGGATTTGCCAAGTGTAACTTATTGCATTTTATGACTGAGTAGATTGTGGCATTGGGTGAACTTATTTGCTAGATTAACAAACATTTTAAAAGAATAATCAGCACATGGCCTGTGATTGAACCAAGTTGGACACCCAAACAAGTGAATGAATATGATTGTATAATTCACGTTGTCAATATGATCCATCAACCTCATCTGGGCCAAACTATAATGAAGGTGTAGTATAAATAATGTTTTTTTTTCCTTAATTCTAATGTTTTGCACATGTTATAACACTTAAAATTGTATGCAAGCATCGTCGTCAAATGTTAGAAAGGATATAGCATTAAAGTTGGTTATCCATCCACACAATGTAAAACGAGATGAAATAATTAGCAAGTCATTGAAGCTCTTGGACATAAACTTACCATTAAGCTGGATGCATCTTTAAATTTTTGAGACAATGTGTATACCGACTCCACAGTTAATTGTGCAAAAAACTGTATTGGGACTTTTTCCATACCGGAAAAAATATTCCATGCTTAGTAGGTACCAAGCTGACATGAACACCTAGTACTCAACACCAATTAAGAGAAACCAACTCAGCCAACAGTCAAAAAAATGCTAACTCAGCCAAATGCCTGATTTTGTTGACATGAGTGACATTTTTGTCTTCTCTCTCCTCTACTTTTTCTCTCTGTACTGCAAGACAATCACTTTAGTTGTCCATGTGACCTTTTCTCTCTGAATTCTCTTGTTAATGCTCTATTTTATGTGTAAACATGTATGGAGCGAGTCCATGTGTTGAGTGCAATATGAAAGCAAAATGATCTGTGTGTTTGTTCTTAAAAAAATATCTGTACATTGTAATCTTTTTTTTTTTGGGATAAAAGTGGATGATCATTTTTTTATTGGTAATTTAGTTGTTAACAATTTTTTTGAGAGGTATGGCTTTACTGGATGGACAAACAATTATAGAGGTATGGCTTGGAGGTGTATAGAATTTTGATTAAGTGAGGCTCTATTAGAATAGTGTATAATAGTGTTGGGTAAAGTGATATACTCTTGGAAAATTTGGACTGTTCTACAATATATACACAGGATTTTGAGCAGACTTGATTTCCAGATTGATCATGTGTACAAAAAAGCAAAAGGTGTAGCTGTTTTTTTAACAAAAAAATGTGGTTCAAAGTAGAATTTCAACAGATTTTTCTGTTGCTTTTCCTCTTCCCAGTTATGCAAAGCTACTGTTGATGCAAAATCAACAAGGTCTTCCAGATTTGAGGAAAAAGAATTTTTTACTTTTTTGATTCCTTATTTATGTATAGAATTGGTATTGTTATGAGGTTCTTTGCTTCCCAAACTTGTGTAACTTTTTTAGGAGATCAATAAAATTTCTCTTTCTTTTTTAAAAAAAATTTGTGATCTTGATTCTAATTACCAAATTTTGTTTTTCGGCTATGGTAATATAGTTTTTTTTCCCTAAGTTAGGCTCTCTTTCTCTCAGCCAAGTAACGGAACTTGTACTTTCCTTTTTTTTTTAACAAGTCAAGGAACGTGTTGAATTATACCTTTTCCATAGCAAAAGAAGGTGAGAAATAAGGCGGTGGTGTCAGACACCGCTTGCATGTGAATAGGCAAGCAAAGGAACTTTGAAAAGGCCAATTCCTCAATTAATAAATTAGGTCATATTTATAGTTCTTACAATCCACGTTTTAATAAAATAAATAAATTAAATTTACTGATTGAAATATTGTGTTTTTACAACATGAATACATGACATAGATTATAAATTATAACAACAAATAAACTTTTTTCTCCCAATGCCCAGTGGGTTGACCAGCAAAATAGGTTAATGATAATGTAGCTACTAGTTTCACACATTCAAACGCTTGCATCATGACAAGATAACATAGCATATGCCCAATCTAACACGTCTCGAAAAATTAGACGACGACCTTCCTATTGCTCAATTTGCATGTCAGCAATTTCTCCGTTTAGATACGTTCATCGTCAAATTAGAAGAGGACGGAGAGAAGGAAAGGAGACAGAAAAGGATTGTTGTGTGACTCAAAAAAACCAAAAAAAAAAAAAAATAGAACAAAGTTACATATAACTGCCACCGAGTGTGAAGAAGAAAAAAATTGTTAACATATTCTAGCTTGGACTTCAGTTTGGTATCTCATTCATAATTGTGGTAAATAAAGGTAGAATGAAAAAAATAAATAGAAAAATATGAAACTTGTACAAATCGTCAATCAAGGTATGTGTTAGAATTTTGGTAAATGTGGAAAAAAATTTTAGTATATTTTATCCTTCTTATATTTAAAAAAATTAATTTTTTTTAAAAATATCTAAAATTTTGTATATGAATTAAATGTAAATAATTGCTTTTCACTAAGTCACAATCAATGGGGACAATCAAAAGTCTGTAGTAAAATTATTCTGTATTTAGTTACAAAATGTAGTTGATATCATTATCAATCTTATAAAGTCAATGATACAACCTTTTGTCTTTTGTATACAATCATATTTTTTTAAGGTTATAGACTACTATTACTAAAACAGGGTAAATGAAAACTAAATATTGTAGTTAAAAATTTATGAACATTGTGTTAGATAAAGATAAATATTGTATTTTTGTTAATATACAAATAGATCATTGACTCAAAAAATAAAGGTTACCTCGCAAAATTATCAAACTTTATGAGTAATATTTAATGATCAAAAATTAATAACCACACATTTTCTAATCTGTATATTTTAAGCAAAACATGTCCATGTTAAGGTGATGCTTGTCGATTCGAGGAAGTAAAAAAGGGAGATTTTTTTAGACTAAGCAACATAAAAAGGAGACAGGGAGATTTTGAACAATTCACCAGCATATGCAGTCCACAAAAGTGGAGGGAAATGTTCCCACCAACAACAAGAAGCTTCTTATATATGTGAATACACAGGGAGAGAGTAACATTCATCTGATAAGGTGAAAACAATAGTAACATCCCTTTGGCATAAGCTTTTAGGATTATGGACTTTCAAGAATGCAACTATAGGAGAGTGGGAAGATTGAGGACCTCATTTACAGATTCAAACCCAAGTAAGAGATTTATTGGCTGTGAGAGATATGGGGTAAGATACTAATATTCTGACAAAATAATTCTTCATTATTTATTATTTTTTTAAAATGTTTTGCAAATAGATCATAATGTTAACCAACATAACAACATGCAGGAGGCAGGTGGGTGCAATTATTTCCAATGATATGATCCTCCAATGTGCGACTGATCGAAACATGTAATTCCCGAACTATTGCGATCACTGAAAAGGCATCAGACAGAAGAAGAAAGAGCCACAAAGCTGGTTAGAAAGTTAAAGTTTGCACTTCTTTTATCATGGATATTTGTCATTGCTTATTGGCTTGTGAATGTTGCACAACAGTGGGTGAGGATGATGTAATAGATTAGGTGGGGGTGTTGTGAATACTGAAAAGTCATGTGACTATGTTGGGTTTTGAAATATATATATGTATGTATAGACTACAGGTGTTTATATTGGATATATAAATACATATATGTCCATATATA